ATTAAAATTAAACTGAAAAAAAAACGATGAAACAGAAAGAAAAACAAGGTAGATCAGAAACCATAAAAAAAATAATTAAATGCAAATATTATGCTCCATTATAAATAATAGTATTTTTTCTTTTCTATTTTTTGTTTTTCTTGTTTTATTTTGGCAATATTTAAAACCGTTCACTTTACCTAATGTTTTAGTCTATCTTAAATGATTTCCTTATTATGAGCACTATTTATTATTATTTTTTTTTTTTACTTATGAGCCAATGTGCACATAATATAGAATTTTATATATAATTTTTAATTGCAAGAAGAACATTTATTTTAAGTATTTTTATTTAAAGTTTGCTCTAGTAAAAGGCATTTTTGGATTATAATGTCAAATTTGTTTATTGTCCAAATAAAAAGTATCTATTTAAATTTGTTTTTAAGTTTTTGTAACGGTTTTGAAGTAACGTCAAAATATACAAATACATAAGAATATATTTATATATATACACAAAATATATGTTTAGTGTGTATAAAAACCCAAAAAAAAAAATTAATATTAATTGAATGCAATATGTTTTAAGTTTATTAAAAATCGATCTGACAGATCTCACACAGAAATTCAAATGTACCAGTTGGCTGCATACAGGGCCAATGAGAATGCATTATTGATATTTTATTTTCATTTTAATTAAATTACGATATAAAAATTTCATTCGTAATTACGCAGTGACAATATTCATTTTTAAATATATATTAAATTAATTACGTTGTAAAATTACAATTCCATTGCATCTTAAACACAAATTGTAATTATTCTTCAGAAAATTAAAAAAAAATGTATTTAAAATCAAAATCAAAAACAATAACTTTAGGACTTAATGTAACTATTTGTTTATTGATTGTAATATCTACGATCTCAACCTTTTAAATATTCTGACTTGAGTTATTTTATTTTTATACTAATGGCATAATCACAAATTATCCCAAAATTATTACAAAAATCTAATATAATTAATGTTTAAGTTTTCACTTTACATACAATCATATATAAAACTCTCTGAATATATAAAAATATTCAGTTTGACAAAGATCATAAAAAAAAAAAAATCTTAATAAATAATTTAAGTATTTCTAACATTCATTCAAAAGTAAATCTTTCTAAAAATGCTGAAATTCTCATTTTATACATAGAATATAACTCGTGTATATCATATATTTCACAAGTTAAAAAAAAATTATTCTTTGTACGTGTAACATATATAAATACACGTACCAATGTTTAATTTAATTAGATTATGAAAAATACAACCAACTACAAATTTTTTTTTTTTAAAAATTTTAGTAAAAAAAAAATTATTTTATTTCTTTCAATCTGCATTTACTTGAAAAAATATATTTCCTTTGTGAATACTTTTCGCTTCGCTATAAACTTAGAGTTGCAAAACTCAGTCACTCACATTTACAATAAAAATAAAAACAAAACAAACTGTATTTAACGTCAACTGATACAATGTACTGACGAGTATGAAAAAAAAATTCTAAATGTTTGCATTTACATACCGACACTGTTCATTGTTGACGTTCACAGTAAAAACTAAATATTTCACAAAAATAGCAACCACAACAAATTAATAGACAACCGATGAAACTTTTACACATTAAGCCCTCACACAAAAAAAAAAAACAACGAAATAATTCACGTCAATTTACATGAACACCCGGAAACAATATATTTCTAATAGAAATACATTTATTTAGCAATATTTTCTTGTATTATATTTATTTATTATATTTCTATATAATAAAAATATCTTCCCAAAAAAAAATGTATTCCTACCTGTCATATTCAACAATATTAATAATTATTTTAAATATATAAAGTTGGAAACTCTAGCCTATAAGTAGTTTAAGTAAATATTGTATAATGTAAAAAAATAAAGTTAGTTGATTAAGATAACTCAAACAAAACAGTGGCGACGAGGATTATAAAAAAAAAAATTACCTAAAATGGACGTAGCTGCTTTAAAGGAATTGCTTAAACAGCAACAAGAGTCTACAAATAAAATGCTGGAGGATCAGCGAGCATTCTTCAAACAAATTTTATTACAACAGACTGCAGATGGACAGAGTGTTAATGTGCCTGCATTTCATGCTTTTAATAAGCAATTGCATAAGTGGGAGACATATCTGGAGCAACTGCATCAACATTTTTCGGCTTATTCCGTAAAAAAGGAGAGATTTAAGTCATTTTTTCTGACCTGGGTAGGCACAGAAACATATGATATATTACACAGCAATTTTGGTGGTAGTGAAATGAAAAGCAATACATTCGAAGACTTGACGCAATTCTTAACCGAATTTTTTCAATCTAAAACACATGTAGTTGCTGCCAGACATGAGTTCCACAAAACAACAATGTCTACAAGCCAGACTTACAGAGAATGGATAACGGATTTACGAAAAATCGCTCGTGAGTGCAAATTTATTTGCAGCGCGCCAAAATGTGGACATGATTATACAGAAGAAATGATACGAGACAAAGTGATTGTACACACTCCACATGATGTTGTTCGTGTAAATGCACTGCAAAAATCTAATCCACCACTCTCTGAGGTGATGCTCATTGCTGAAGCTTTTGAAGCGACGGAGAAAACAATTAACAAAATTAAAGATAAAGTAATCAACGAAGGAGAAGTAAACGTCGTCAAAACTAAAATAATGAATAAAACCAACAAATATAGTGAAAAGCAAAAAGCTCAACAAAAAATCATGCCAAAATCATGCTCAGGTTGTGGATCTTCACATAGGCGACAAAATTGTAAGTTTAGAAAAGCTGTGAGTAATAAGTGTGGAAAAAAGGGTGTACGCTACTTGGTGCTAACCCAGATCCTTAATCTGTGTTAGCTTGGTAGCCAATTTTTATGTGTAAAGTAGTTTGAGCACTTGTAACCCAAACTATTTGTATTTTCTATGTTGATTAGTTTGAGCACTTGAAACCCAAACTAATCGATGCGAGAAAGTAAGAAAGTTATAATTGATTTTTCTTTTCCTTCTGAACTTTATTAAAATTATTTCTTATATTTATACAAAATTATTTTATAAAAAAGCTATTAAATTATGCATTAATTAACAATAAATATTAATGCATAATTCACAAATAAATAAATTTGCCTACGCTGTGCTGACATAATTATAGGCCAACATATTACACACTTTCTTCAGTGCATTGACCAACAAGAAAAGCTGATAATGCAAAATTGCACTTTTCGTTGGTCAATGACTGGTCGCAGTGTTGGCCCAAATAATATGTAAACACATGTAAACAAATAACATAAAAAACAAAAATATAAAATAATATTAAATGCAAACATAAACATTCTCCCCGCCGTTGAGTGCCAACTCAACTTGTCCTAGGTTGTGGTCACAGTGAAGTCCAAATTTTGTTGACGTAATTCTGCATTCTGCATATCATTTCCTCGTGTTGAAATTTCGCTTATTGTGTGTTTCTGACATCTGTTATGTTTGGTTTTCCAAGTAATGATTATGATTATTGTTATAGAAATTAACAACGCCAAATAACTTATCGTATGATGATGAATACTGTTTAATCGCACTCTAGAGGGAAGATATGTCAAGTTTTCCTTAGTTAGCCGGTCTTGCAATTCTGTGAGTTCTTTGAGTTGTGTTTTTACATCATTTGGTGTTGTATTGAAGATTTTCTGCATCTCATTAATGTGTACAACTGTTGATAAATTTCCAAATCGTGGAAATGACGTGGATACAATGCTGGAGATAAAATAGTGGCCATGTATGGTTATTTCTGCGTTTTTAATGATGCACGTAGGTCCAAATGTAAGCATTCCGGATCCTTTCAGTGAGAACTGACTCAAGTAGGTCTCACAACTAGCTGACATCAATGTTTCAAGTTTTGTTGCGTATAGCCACTGGTTCGGGTTGTGTAGTTGTTTCAATGCAATATTTCCTTGAAGTTTTATTATATTGCATGTTGTTGACTGATTACCATTAAATAGATTAATTTCACATGAATGTACCGATGATGCTATACCTAGTCTTGTTTGTTTATTAGCGCAAAGGTATATATTATCCTTGGTTAAAAAACATTCCCGTAACTCATGGTCATCAAATGGAATGTACTGATCTCGAACAGTGTTGGTTGCCAAGTACTCCACTTCAGTTTTGATAATTATCATGGTTTTGTTTATTACAACCGGTATCGGTGTTGTCTTGAACAATTCAAATTGCTGCTTGTCTAGCAGTGGTAGTTGTATTAAAAATAATACATGCTGATTTTTAATTGTTGACTTCACTTTCATTAGCTTGTAAAAATCGGTCAAATTGTCTTCTGTGAACGGTAGTGTACGCGGTGATGGTAAGTGGCCTTTGATTCTGTTAATCTCCTTTGTTAATTGATCAGGAGTTAATAGCAGTGGACTGATTTTCCCATGATGTGTATCTGTAAGCACATCAATTATCTCCGACTGGATGTGTTGAAGATTGGATACCATTAATGTGAGTTCTGCAGATAATGAAAGTAGTAATTGAGTGACATGTATTTGTTCTGTTGTAGTTCCAATTCTATTCAGAAACTCATCAACCTGCTTTTGCAAATGATTCATTCGGGACTGCATGGTAACTTCATCTCGTTTGATTATATTTATTGTGGAATCTATAATAGATGTTTGATTATGAATTAACTGCATTGCATAATCATCTCTACTGTTAAGTTGGTTTATTGTGTCAGACATGCTCTCAGCGTAGTCTGAATCAAGCACTCCGAATAAGGTGTGTGCAATATTTCCTACTATGTTAATTGCAGCTCGCTTGTTCCGGCTTTTATATAATAATGTTTGGTCTTGCAACAATTCATCTCTTACATGTTTAAAATGAGTATAGAGAGAAGTACATGCTGTATGTGCTTGCAATTCTGAACATAAACGTTTGATAGTTTTAGTCCCGTTTTTGAAGGAGTCCATTTCGGTCCAATATGGATGAAGATCATAGTAAACAATCATTTTCCATTCTGCCGTTGCTACTTTCATCAAGCCAATGGTCAAAGTATATTCCTAAATTATTGTCGAAACGTGTTACATTCACTGAATTCCCTAATACTAATGGCAAGAATAATAGAGATAATAACATTGTGCACAGTAATGAATTAGACATTGGCCGTGAATACTTTTTAGGTGGCTCGTCTTGATCTGCGCCTTCGTGTGGTGTTTTCGAATTCGCTTTTGTAAAACTTTTTGAAAATTGTTCATCAGAAACAGGAGATTGTTCATCGGCTGGAAACAGAGGCGCTAGTCTTGTCAAAGGACGTCTTAGAGTTCCTGATGCCATTCTAACATCGACCACGCGAACAAGACCGTCATCTCCCTTATATACTTTTGAAATACGTCCAAGCGGCCATTTTAATGTAGGAACATTATCTTCCTTGATGATTACAAGGGTACCTTCTTTTATATTTGGATTGGCTGCTTTCCATTTGTGTCGACATTGTAGTTCAGTGAGGTACTCGGTTTTCCAACGTTCCCAAAAGTCCAATTTGAGGCGAGAAACTAATTTCCACCTTGTCACCAGATTTATATTTCCTGATTGAGCCTTTGCATCTGCCATTGCTGTGAGTGGTTCTCCGATTAAGAAATGACCAGGTGTTAGTGCTGACAAGTCATTCGGATTACTCGACATAGGTGTCAATGGTCGAGAGTTCAGTATTGCTTCGACTTCTAATACCACAGTCTCTAGTTCCTCATATGTTAGTGAAGTCGTCTTAGTACTTCGTATCAATAAGTGTTTTGCTGATTTGACTGCTGCTTCCCACAGTCCACCGAAGTGCGGTGCACGAGGAGGTATAAATTTAAATGTTATTCCTCTTTCATTACATTCGTTAATTATCTTCTCTTGTGCCTTGCTTGTTTGAATTGAGTCTGCAAGTTCAAGTAATTGATTGCTTGCTCCCACGAAATTTGTGGCATTGTCACAAAACAAATTTTTGCAGTGTCCTCTTCGAGCAATAAAACGTTTCAGCGATCCGATGAATGCATCTGTGGTTAAATCGCTAACTACTTCGAGGTGAACTGCCTTAGTTGTAAAACAACAGTACACAGCAATGTATGCCTTGTGTGGTTTCTTGCCTCGGATTCTGTAATGTATCCAAAAGGGTCCGCAAAAGTCTACTCCAGTGGTGAGGAATGGTCGCCCAGGTTGTACTCTTGTCGCTGGCAAATTACCCATCAGTTGTTCATAAAATCGTGGTCTTACTTTAGTACAACGTACACAATGTTGTACTACTGACCTTGCCATCAATTTGCCTTTAATTGGCCAGTATTGTTGACGCATGTTAGCTAGGAGAGACTGCGGACCACAGTGCATGTATTTCTTATGGACTTGTTCCATTATTAATTTGACAATGGGGTCGTTATAAGGCAACAACATAGGATGTTTGGCGTCATACGATAATGAGGCTGCATCCAAACGTCCACCAACTCTTATGATGCCCGTATTATCAATAAAAGGTGCCAGTGATGCCAATGCACTGGACTTATTTATTCTTCCATCAGATTTCATAATTTTGATTTCATTTTTAAATTCTGCATATTGAATACTTTTGATGATGACCTGATGTGCTGCATCTAGATTATCTGGAGTCAAAAAATTGCTTGAATGATCTTTTTGTTTTCTTCTGGTTCTTTTTACGATTCTTAATATATACGATAATATCCGTTGAAGTCTTCCAAATGAGTTATTGTGTCGTATTGAGTATATGAACTCTCCAGGATTTGCTGTGTCTTCAACAACAGATAATATAGATACTGGAGTTTCCTTCTTTCGTTCAGGATCAATGAGGGTTTCGGATTTTAGCGCTGATGATGGTTTTGAAGGCCACAGTTCTTCCCGACCATGCAGGAACATAGGTCCATAAAACCACATACTTGATGACTGTAGTTTATGGGGTGCAAGGCCTCTTGATAAAATGTCAGCTGGATTGTGTTCCGAACTGACGTGGCGCCACTGACTTGTGGCTGTTAAATGATGAATGTTGCTT